CGAACGGTTCCATAATTATATTTGGACCCGACGAGTCCATTTATTAAATACCCGAAAGTTTTGGGTCGGTTCGGGTCTCTTCAGAATCGAACCAAACCGACCCACGAATAGCCCTATAGAGGAGGTTGTTAGGTTAATTTAAAAACTAAAAAGAATTCTCTCTTTCTGAACTTCTTATTTACGTATAAATTTACTCGAATGCAAATTTCTTAAGTTAGCCAAATCTGAGTCCGTGGTTGGAGTTGACCCATTATTTATTTATTTTTAACTTTTTCTCACTTGTTTTCTTTGCTGAATAAATGAGGATGAAATCTCTATCATGTGAACTTATCGAGATCTTCCTCGATCAATCCCTTGAATATATCTTATCGATGAGGATTTTTGGTTTAAAAATTGACTAGTGTTAAGAAGTATTAGCCCATGTGATTCCAAAAATCTCACTATCCAGTCAGTCCTTGAGAAGGCTAAACTTTCACATATTTATTAATTCAGTAAAACAATTACAATAATTTCTTTCCAAAAAAAAAAAAATAGAATTAAATGACGATTTACAAGCAGGACATGTTTTCAGAGCCTCAATTTGACTTGTTTCTCTGTTGGTCGAGCGTAACAAACATGCTTCATAATAATCCACCGTCGTATGGCACTCCAGTATCAAATATCCAGTCATTTCCAAGCAGGAAATTTGACACAGTAAAATTAGCAGCATCTGCAGAATTAATAACATGAAATCCAGGCCAATTTACTCTCCCGCTAGTGTTGGATCCTGGCCCTGTATTATTAAACTCAGCATAATATGAAGTATTCAGTGCAAAATCTCCTGACCATTCATGCCATCCCAATGAATTTATAAAACCATCTATGTAACTTTGCATGTAAATTGTCCTTGAAAATTCCTTCCATGGCCTCCCCAAATATGTCTGAATGCTGGTCGTATTCAGGTCGTCTGCCGGTCGAATCGTGCAGTTATGAATGGAAATGCCGGTGTTCTGGTTCGGATCCGTTCTGCCCTGTGCGGTAATAGCATTGAATTGGCCGGGCATTGGGAGACGGGGATAAAGGTTGCAGTTCTGGAAAACGGCGGCAGCATTGCCGAATATGAAGTCGACTGTACCGTAGATGTCGCATTCTCTGTAGAATTGTCGGAGGGAATGAACGTATAACGTGTCTTGGTACGCTTCGAAACTGCACAAATAGAATGTGGATAAATCGGCACCATTTCGGACCGCAACAGCTTGATGTTTGATTGCTCCGGCCGTGTTCCTGAATGTTATGTTGACTGCAACGAAGCCTGCCCCAACGACAGCTGCACACGAAAGAAAAGCAAAAAACTATTCAGCAGTGAATTCAAGACTGTTAAAAAGACGAACATACAACTTGCAATCTTCTAAAAATTAATGTTATTCATAGTGAAAATTGTCGATAGTCGTCCTACACGACATACACATGGCAGTTTGTTATTTGATGTACGAGACAATAAAAAAACTACAAAATTAATACAACAGATAACAAATTGTCATGTGCCTGTCAAGTGGGATTACTAGTCGAATATCGGTAGTCAACATTCTCATCTTCTAAGTTGGGGGACCCACAAATTGATGGAACCAATTTCAAGTCGTAAACAATACTAGGGGCTCACCAAAGGTTGACGAGTTGAATGTAGTCCATCCATCAACAAAACTATGATTTCCAGTGATGATAGTCTGATTGATTCCATCACCAATCATCATCAAATATTTCTTGTTCTTGGCAATAGACACATATTCTTCATAAACACCAGCAGTTATATATATCAGAAAGTAGCCGCCGCTGCCGTTGGAGTTCACCGGAGCCGCTGCCACCGCATCGTTCACGGTGGTGAAATTCCCAGTTCCATTCTGATTCACAACTGCAATATCACTCACCAGAACCTGTTGAAAACAAAATTCCAATTAATGAGTATCAAAGCCACGGAAGAAGGTCCTGAGTTTAAGTCTTGCCCACAGCATAAGCAATTGGATAAAGTGGTTAAAAACCCGAACCTGATTATCATCATTTGTCTGAAGCAGCCTCCTGTTGCTGACAGTGTTTAAGATTTCTAGATTTTTTGCAGACATTTTTAGGTTCAATCTGCCATTTTGGAATGTCAAATGTTTCCCTGTTGAGTGTGCAGGCTTCTTCCTCTTAGGAACCCAGGCTCTGGTGAAAAGGGCTAAAGAAACGCTGAACAACCTCGTATCATTCGTCAATGGCAATAAAATCCCATTTCTTACACTCCAGGCTGAGGCTGTAGCCTGAAGGCCATCCACACACGTCTGACTGTTTGTCAAAATGCCGCTAAGAAGTGTCTGAACGTCGTCAGCCTCAAAAACCGGAAGCGTTTTCGATGAAGTTCCATTGACAGTAACGAAGGAACTAATTAGAAAATCAATGTTAAGCTCAGCTAGAAATTTGCAATCTTCTAGAGCCCTCACAGCTGTTATTGTCAAATTTCTCGACCGCCGTAAATACTTGTTAATCAACGAAAGGAATTTCCGGGCTGTGGATAAGGATTTTCGGACAGAAAACAGGCCGTAATCGTACGCATTGGATGAGGAATTTGAGTTTGGAACGAGCATTGATTTGCAGAATCCAGGATAAGGGGTGGATTTGCATATGGTTGAAGGGGGGACAGGATTTGCTGGCGAAGTATTATCTGCTGAAGATTGTGTAGATAACGTTAGAACTGCTAAAATAATGCAAGAAATGATTATTGGAGAGAAAAACAGCTTATTTTTCATCATTTTAACGGGTGAAAAAAATGAACAGACGAATTATATGTAAACTTTGTTCTTGTATATTGTATAGACTCACATATAATGTATATATAGATGAGAGGGATGGAGTTTCTTGAAGCATAAATGCATGTACGAATTTGTATATAAAGTCAACTTGCATGGCATTTCCAAAACGCGTAGATCTCGATTGAAACTTGAAGGCATTATTTGGTGATGGATAAAGGGAATACTGAATACCAACTTTTTTTTGTCTTCAAGGTATTTTATATGAGCTACTTATTTTTGGTAACTTACGACTTATTCTGTAAATTAATCAATGACTTGACTATAATATAATTACTCATTCATACTGCATGAGATACCTATGATTGTGTAAATGAAGATATTGACGAGGGATGTGATGTTATACACCGGCATCGGCTTACTTCGAGGTCATAAATTTTTAAGTTTTCTGCTTTATTTCTTTAAATTATTAATAAATACTCCATCGATTTAGTAGTTTAATTCTAAGTAGCTTGGATTGTTTGACGACTCTGAAGATTCAAATTGATTCACGGAGTAGGAGATTGTTGTGATCCCAAGTTGTCGATTCTTGTGAACACTCGTATCAAACGAGTTTGAACTACCATCTTACATCAACACATTAATGAATATATCTCGGATCGAATAAATATAAAGAAATTAATCAATATATAAGAGTTTGAACTACTTTCTCTTAACAGTCTGATGAAACTTGAGCATCAGTATCGTTTTGACCCAAAAGAGCCAAGTCATTACACAATGGTAAAGACTGTAAAATGTGTACATTTCTTAGATGACAAACGTGGTCCTTGGTCCCTTCCTTTTCAAGTTGCCTTTCTTTTGAGGTTATTTGGTCTCTCAGTCATCTTTCTATTTCACAGTTCATTTAAGAACGTTGCTAGTCACGACAAATTCTACGTGATTATCTACCATGTAACACACCTATAGTTATTTATAGGAAATGATCGGAAGAAGAGTACGTTTAGATACAGTAGGTTTTTAAGTGTTATATAAAAAAAAATTGGTCAAATAATTTTTTATTCACATATTTTGTAAGACCTACAAATACTATCTATTTATCCGTGATTATAAACACCGTGCCAGACTTACCGTAATCATTTCAATAGGTTTGTCTAATTATATTGCATGACAATGGATATAAAGCATTCATGGCACTTTTCGTAAACAAAGCTAGAAACTACGGGCGGATTTTTTTTTTTTTTTTTGTCAAATTGTGTTTGAGGGACTATTGACAAACGTAAGTTTACTCTTGAGTAAGATGATAACTATGAAAGTAATCATGAATTAAAAAATTCTGTGTCTCATGACCTGGTCACCAAATTTAGAATGTGAAGTTTTCATTTTTTCTTGAACAGCAAATCTTTTGGATTGATTGAAGTTATCTTATCTTTCTTTCATTTGCTGGACCCTTCAAAGTTGTCCTTTCTGTTTTGTGTATTTAATATAGGATTATTCTTCTTGTAATTATTCCACCCAATTGGTGGTCTGTTTTAAAAAATTGGAATGTAAATGCTATAATTTTTTTTTTTATGTCCTTGTTTGGTTCAGCTTAAAATCTTGGTTAAAATTTAAGTCAAAAATCAATTATTGGTATTAGTTATATATTTTATGGGATCCAAAAATTTTCAAATGAGCATTTCATCAATTTTTATCAAAAAATTATTTAATGATTTTTATCTGAACCAAACAGGGGCTATGTGATTCTACTAATACATGAGGGTTCAGATTAGCATGAAAATGTAGAAGAGAGATGGGAGGTACTAATTTTTTGGCTTGTTTATGGTCAAGACTTAATTTTGTCAAACATAATTTTCAAAATTATTTTTTTACTCTTAAAATTTACTTTTTAAAAAAATAAGTCTTAAATTACTTTCTAAAAATGTAATTTTTATTCACGATCCAATCATTATGATGATTTATTGTCGTAGACATCTCTCTCAACCCCGTCCCCCAAAATAATGAAAAGCGATAGATATCGAGGAGGAAGAGAAGAAAGGAAAAAAAAAATGAAAAATGAAAAAACTATAAGAGATTCAGACTCATCAAATACAAATCTTGCTTTGTTCACCTTTTAGCTCTCATTCCTAGTTATATTTTTTTGTAATCTATCTTCATTTATTGGATGTCAGGTCAAATCTCTACCTTCTAATCCATTCTTCTTACTTCTCCATATGAATAAAGAATACAGTCAGGTAGTTTGATTAAAAGAAATACATGGGTTTGTATATAATATTCTTGATTCACATTTGCTCATGAATATATGGAATGCAGCACTTGTTGAAATTTGATTCAAATTAGTCAAACCATACCTAATTTTGGATGTGTACAAGAGATAAATGGTAATCAGAAACTCCCAAAAAAAAAAAAAAAAGAAAAAAAAAAGATAAATGCGCAAATGTCGAGTTTAAAATGATATGGACGATTTGCACAATGAGTACAAATGATGAGTACGTTTTGGGCTAATTACTCAATTCTAAATTATGGTCTATNTAGGACAAAAACAAAATTTGCACCGGGATAATACATAGAAGGAAAAATGAGTTTTTTCAAAATATACACAATATTGAACAAGACTAAACAAGTCAATTCACATATAATTGAGGGTAAATTTGTCGTGTATCTAGGATAATTGGCCTCACCAAACTCGTTGACAAAAATGGCCAATTCAAAATTTAAAAATAACTACTCCTACTCGTTTTCCTTTTTAATATGAACAGTCAAATTCCCCATTCCACCTAGGTTTAACGTAGCATTGACTGAACTTCACATCTTTCGTAATTTTATTAATCTTTCCTAACTTAAAGCTAGCTTTTCAATTAAATTTTTTACTGGAAATCCGTGCACAGGAAAGCGGGAAACGACAATATACGCTGGAATTTTTAGTTCTATAGAATACCGAGGTTGCATAAAGAATTGAATGAAAATTGTTACGGTTCTGTGTCAGATCCTCCACCTCGACGTCACGTGTCAGCAGAGGTTGCCCCACCATAACACGCGTCAGCCGAGGTGATTGCCCCATAGGACGATCTGAGTGTGCACACCGAAATGATTACGTGAAAGACGAACTGAATAGGCGCTAGCGAACGAATCGAACTCATCCGCCAACATATCACGGATGCAAAGGCCTGCACTCCACTTCTATAATGTTGCAAAGCCTCACCTGCCTCGCCTCGTCTAGTCAAGGATCTCTTGTACAAAGATCTTTCCAAAATCAAATCACTGACTGATAGGACGCGTGACATGACTCAAAGGGTCAAATCAGCTGCTCTTGTCAGAAACATTCAATGTCAGTCAGCCTATGGAGGGATGAATTGATACCTAGGATGTGACGAACTCTAGAGATCTAGAAACACGTGTCTCCTCATCCAACAGTTTTTCCCTTCCCATCCTTGTGCCTGTAAAAGGAGAGGAATCCAACACACTCAAAACTACTACTACATTGTGAAATCTAGTATCTTCTTCCCTTAAGTACTAACACTTTTTGATAAACACTTTTGTCAACCTCTTCTTGGCGAGTGTTCCACCGTCGGTGAACTCTTCTCTGATTGAACTTTAAACTGACTTGACCGTCCGAGTGTTTGCGGCCGCTCCCAACCTCTCCGGGAAAAGCCACAAGTGACTAACGACATGCCACGTGTGCAGGAAAATTTTCAAAATTATTTTTTTACTCTAAAAATTTACTTTTTTAAAAAAATAAGTCTTAAATTACTTTCTAAAAATGTGATTTTTATTCACGATCCAATCATTATGATGATTTATTGTCGTAGACATCTCTCTCAACCCCGTCCCCCAAAATAATGAAACGCGATAGATATCGAGGAGGAAGAGAAGAAAGGAAAAAAGAAAAAAAAGAAAAAACTATAAGAGATTCAGACTCATCAAATACAAATCTTGCTTTGTTCACCTTTTAGCTCTCATTCCTAGTTATATTTTTTTGTAATCTATCTACATTTATTGGATGTCAGGTCAAATCTCTACCTTCTAATCCATTCTTCTTACGTCTCCATATGAATAAAGAATACAGTCAGGTAGTTTGATTAAAAGAAATACATGGGTTTGTATATAATATTCTTGATTCACATTTGCACATGAATATATGCAATGCAGCAGTTGTTGAAATTTGATTCAAATTAGTCAAACCCTACCAAATTTTGGATGGGTACAAGAGATAAATGGTAATCAGAAACTCCAAAAAAAATAAGGGTAAAAAAATCCTCCTCGAGGTCAAATGCTTGTCATAAAAATGTGTCATACACAGGTTCGGAGATAGGGTAGGACAAAAACAAAATTTGCACCGGGATAATACATAGCAGGAAAAATGAGTTTTTTCAAAATATACGCAATATTGAACAAGACTAAACGAGTCAATTCACATATAATTGAGGGTAAATTTGTCGAGTATCTAGGATAATTGGCCTCACCAAACTCGTTGACAAAAATGGCCAATTCAAAATTTAAAAATAACAAGTGGACTGAGACACAAATATTCTCGTCCTAACTACTCCTACTCGTTTTCCTTTTTAATATGAACAGTCAAATTCCCCATTCCACCTAGGTTTAACGTAGCATTGACTGAACTTCACATCTTTCGTAATTTTATTAATCTTTCATAACTTAAAGCTAGCTTTTCAATTAAATTTTTTTACTGGAAATCCGTGCACAGGAAAGTGGGAAAGGACAATATACGCTGGAATTTTTAGTTCTATAGAATACCAACGTTGCGTAAGGAATTGAATGAAAATTGTTACTGGTCTGTGTCAGACCCTCCACCTCGACGCCACGTGTCAGCAGAGGTTGCCCCACCATAACATGCGTCAACCGAAGTGATTGCCCCATAGGACGATCTGAGTGTGCACGCCGAAGTGATTACGTGAAGGACGAACTGAATAAGCGTCAGCGAACGAACCAGACTCATTCGCCAACATATCACGGATGCAAAGTCTCGCACTCCGCTTCTATAACGT